AAGGCCAGTATTACATACTAACCCAGAGATTGGCTGGAAGACTTGTGAATATGCAAAGATTTTGCCCTCACCCAGCCAGCCAGTTTCTGCAAAGAATACTTGCCCAATCAAATGTCCTGGACACTTGTTTATTTGTTAAATTTAAAACCTTAGTGGCATTTCATCTCTTCATATAAAGATCTGATTCATCACTTGCACGTCACAACATCCTCTTGTAATAGGTATGTCTCAACTTGTTTTTTAACCGGTCCTTCTGGCTTGTGAATTAAAAACCAACTTCCTCACCCAAATATTATCTTCAGTTGTCTTCGTCACTGCAACATTTGGTATGCGGCTCAAAAGCACTCAGAAGCAAAATGACCTTTGAGTCTTAAATATAAAGGTGGATTTTAATCTTAGAATCCAAGCACTTGTAACTTTACTTGGATTGTTTTGAAATGGTATGTTTATCTTTGAAGATCCTCACATTTTGAATGATTTACCCTAGGCTCAATTAATGCAGCTAAAATGAAACAGTGATATGAAAAATGTGTTATCAATTGACTCAAACCAGATAAAATTGATAGCTTCTTATTCAATGAATAATCTCTAAACAAAGTCTGTCCAGTCTGACCCTGTGACTGTAGAACTGAGATAGGCAATCTAGAATGAAGCTAAATTTATAAGGAGATTGTACGGATCACAATCTAGAGAGGGCTGGTACAGTTTTCGTCCTTTAAAAATTCAGGATTACCCTAAAGAAAAATAATCATTTTAGAAAATCATAGAAAAAATGCGACAATGGTCTATAGATGAGACTGGTTTGGGAGAACTAATGAAGGATCATTTTAAAGCTTGCACATACCTGCGGAGGATCAATACAGCATTTAAGTTCTGAGCCTGTCTGGCAAACGCCTTGTGGGCTATAGGTCGGTTCCTTGTCTGATGGAAAGCAAGACCAGAAGGTTAAAACAAATTGACATCCAACAAGAAACTTCCGTGACTTACAATGCTTGTCTTTCTTACACATCAATTTAGGACTCGCAGTGCCGTCTTTGAGCTTTCTTTTTCTGCAGTCAACAACAGGACCTGGACCTAATGTGAAGCTGGTGCTGGTGCCAATTAGGAAAACGGTGATCACAAGCGCTTCAAGAAGCTTAGGGAAATACATGATGGTGTTAAGGAAATTTCTAGTATGTTATACTATAGCTTGAATGCTGCAGGTAATGATCAATTATGAACGGGCGCAGAGTTCTGAATTTGTTGATCGACTTGGAGTGGTCTGAGGAGGTTCAAAGCGACGATCCGAGGGATTCTTATGGGGAAGGCAAAACTGCAAGGCTTGTGAAATTGATGGCCACAAAGCACTGTGTGACCCAACAAAGCCCCCACTGAAAATTTTGAACATATCGATGTGCGCTGTGAGTGGCGTAGGAATGTGAGTACATACCTCGCGTCTAGGTGACCCTACGGCTGGCCGCCCGGAATCTCTCAACAAGAGGCTTGGTTAAGCTCCATCAATTCAATTCTTACCACGCTTGAGTGACCTCGAGGACAACAGCCCTTCAAATATGGGCGGCTTCTCTATTCTTCAGCGAAGACACCGAGGTACGCATGCCATACAAGATTTGTTTTACTGAAATTTCCAGGCAAGCTTGGTCCAGAACCTTAAACACATGTGAGGATATTGTTTTCCCCATTTATGTACCTGCACGCGACGAGCACTAAATACAGCCCCTCCCCCCCTCCGCCAGGCAAAAGTAGCTCATAGGCTTAGGCCACCGATATATACAAGCTTAAGAGAATGAGATGCGTCATCAACTGTCGTCAAGGAAGTGGAGAACAAAGCTTTCCAGAGCTTTCCTTCCGAGAATTCAGTACATAAATACTTATCGATATTTTCTTCCTGGGTGGTCAATTGTTATGGAGTGACTGGCAGGGCGCGACTTCAAGGTCATGGTTGACCATGGATGCTATCGCGTGTTCTGCGAAGGCGACCACCTCGTGGGTGGCACAAATACTGGGGCCCTTTTAGCATCCATCATCGTCTTTGGGCTGGCGCCACTAGGAGGTTCCTCCCTCTCGGGAACAAGACCAGTCAGCTCCGGTAAGTCAGTAAGAGAAGGGAGACATGGGTGCCTTTAAGTTTTGAGATGGAAACAACTGCCGCAGGAGATTAAAGCCCAACTGCTCGCAGATTCTGCCTTACTCTGGAATCCTGAAAGCGGAAGAAAGGGATGCATTCTAACTTGGATAGTCTTCTGAATTTGGAGGTGGGGGGAGGGGGATGGCCCAGTGCAGAGTGGGATATCAGCATCTTTCATACCGAGTTAGATGACTGGCTGTGGTGGGAAGAATTATTGTCCGGGTAAATTATAATAACATGTTCAATATGTCTCTTTTGATCCAAGGGTCCAGAAGCTTTCGACTGGTATGGAGATATCATCTCCTTTGTCGCCAAAATGACTAGCGACGGTGTGATTAACTCTGGCTGCGATAGATCCAATTACCGCGACAATCCACCTCGATTTTATCTCAAAGGCCTAAAGTTTCTCGGATCGCCTGATGGACTCTGAGCGTGGCTCATTGCAAGCTTCGTCCACGAATCTTACTAAAGCTTGGGGAAAACGATTGCATCTTGGGAAACCCAGCCTTTATTCGAATTTAAGGATTATCAAGATTTCTGATTTCCTTGGGAGGTCCGGCTTCACGTTCCTCAACGGCAGAAGACATGATCGTTGAGTTTGAATTCATAATGGTTTAGATGACGACTGCCAGTTTTCCCCAGCCAAAGTGACTGGCATGTATCCGCGTCAAGATCAATATCGGGAACATCAAAATGAATTGAAAATTTCCCTTTTTTGCGATCCAGAAGCTGCCTTCAGTCGCTCTAGAGGATCGCAATAATAGGAGTCATTTCCAGAGAATTGCAAGCGAAATCATTTCATTCAAGCTTAACAATTACGCGCCCGGAAAGATCTTAACAACATTTCTCAAGATTAGTAAACACTGAGTGGATTCAAATCACTTTCTCAAAACTTATGTTGCTTTTATATTCTTCAGCGGAAAAATGGTGGCACTGGCACATTTTTCTTCACTGAAAAGTTGAGACAAGCTAGTTGGATTCTAGAGTGCATAAAGTTCCGAAGAAGAGGCCATGGCACTTGGAAATCTTGATCAACCTTGTATAGGGGTACAGCCCCGAGGGAGTTGGCCGGTCTGCTAAATCAACCCGAATTCAAATCACGTATTAGCTTTACTGTTATCCAAGCAAACAGGGAAAGTAAACCTGAAACTTACATCTACTTGAGAGGTACAGCAAGAAAACTTTTCGCCGCTTGGGCAGGATTGTTCGGCGTTGTGATCTGGTGGTAATCGGGGGAAAAAAAGCCGCACGATAGACCGGCAGGTTGCGGGATTAACGATAGAATCTGATCAAAGGATCAAGACAGATGTAGAAGAAACTCCTTACATTTATCCAAGGGAGATTTACAGACTAGGTAAGGTGCAGGCTTCCCATCTTTTAACTTGGCCATGTTGCACTTTGGGGAGAATGCGGATGCTACCATATCAATGCAAACTAATGAAAGCACGAGCATCACAGCTGAAAGAACTCGGAGAGTATACATGATGGGGATAGTAGTTCTTCTAGGATATTGAACTTTCAATCAAAGTGTTTTTCAGATTGATCTGGAGTCGGAATTTTTATCTCTGAATGGGATTTGGGGTGGGGTCAGTGATGATCCATAAGAAAGGAGGCCATTTTATTTCAAAAAAATTCGGACTTGAAAGGGCAATTCTCCGCCACATGAACCAAGAAGAATGCCATCTTTTCAAGTACATATTTTCCATTGAAAAGCCTCCTGCGCCTGCAGTGCCTCAAAAACATTGGTGTCATCATTGATCGCTGGTGATCAGTACGCCAGAAGAAGCACGCAAGAAGCATGGCCACGCCCTGCCGCAACGCTGGCGCTGCACCGCTGCCAGGTCCGACTCGGAGTGAAGCCTGAATCGGATCTTCGGAACATAAGATCATAGAAGTTGGGAAACTGTTGGGGTTTGTCGAGTGATGTAATAGAGACATGTGTCAACTCCGAGCCAATGATCCGGCTCAGAAAGAAAAAGATCCGCATCTGAATCTGATTTTGTGGGGTATGATAAAGTAGCAAAAAATAGTAGGTTCAATATTTGTATTCAAAATATCATGACACGCGTACTTGTGACACGACAACGAAGATCTACGCGACGTGCCAGACCTTAACGCGCTAGATAATATATAACTGCCCCTCTGTTTTGATTTGTCCTCTCATGGGATTTATCTCGCAACATTTCTACGATTTTAATAAAAACATTCTTAGTTTTCAGTCTCCCTCTTCTCTGAAAGATCCATACACCGTGCCGGAAGATTCTTTACAACATGCAAGAACAGGGATTGTTTCTATCTTAACCAAGTGCCTCTAAACTTGCAGGGGGGGGGGATAATCCAAATTCAGAGGGGCTCAGTTAAGTGGGCTTTGTTTTCACCTGTTTTGAGGGTATTTGTGCTTATTTTACAAACAATTTGAAGTGCGGGACAAGAGAAAAGGCTGAAACTAACTCTGCCAGGTTAACATCTGAGAAAGAGTTATAATCCTGATAGTCAGATTTTATATATATTTAATTCAACAAAGTCCTGCTTAAACTTGGCTAAGTTTGACAAGGTTCATGCTGTTTCATGGCTAGCTCTAACTTGAGGTAGTCCCGAGTCACGCTCCCAAACGGTGATTTTCCCCAAGTTTGATACCCCTCAATTTTGCGGGCCTGGCATTGCCTGGATGATGAAAAGCCCTCCCAAATCAATACAGAAAGTCCCTTTGAAATTCTCTCCATCTAATTCCATCAATATTTGTTCGACAGGAAATGCAACTCTGTAACGACAATGGCTGATCTCTGGTACATCTGCTCACGGGGTGATTTGCACGTTGAAGGTTCTAATTGCTTTAAGAATCTAACAATCTGAATGATTTGCCCCTGAATGTGGGGAGCAAGTGGTATTTACTTAAGTAAAGTTTTGTCGAAACTTGCGGAAGGATGAAAGCGTTCTGCGTGTGTAAATGATTTTTCTCGGGACAAACAAGACATCATATCCATAGGCTTGAGAACTATCTCAGGTAGACACAACGGGTCATAGGCAACGCATTGCTCGTTTATCAGATAACACCCCCCATTGACGTGCACCCCAACGGGATGAAAGAGCCGCTCTAAAGAAACAAGGATTTTTTCAATGATTAATACATATTTATTGAGATGTCAATCATTGAGAGGGAGTGATTGATGCGTACATCGACACGTCTGACACAGCATAAACTGTGCTCTTTTGGCTTGCAAGGTACCGAAGCTATCATGTCGTAGACTGATTCATAATCGAGATCAGAAGGATCGAAAACCAACAACAAGTCACATCAGTCAAACGGATCATGTGAGGAGTGATACAGCTATTTATTTAGTTGAAGAGAATCATCAAGAACAAGCTCCCGGGACTTACATGTCGTACCACTTTTGCACACTCGGTTCGGTGCCTTCAGATTGAGGACCCGTGCATTCCCACATTCAACTTTGACCTCTGGGGAAGATGCGACAAGAGAGCCGATAAGCGAAAACGAGACCATGAAGGCTCCAATCAATTGAAGAGAATGCATCATGATGTTCAGTTTGTAGCTTGTATCACAATAGTAATTATGGTCAATATGAAGCAAATTTTGTAACGGGTGTTTAAATTCTATGGAGTACTTTGAAGTAATGGGAGAATGCTCAAAGCCGGTGACGAACAAATGAACTGCGATTGTAGAGCTTTTTTACATTCCTTGCAGCACTCAGCCAAGAAAAAAACACCCGAGACCCAGAGTGACGTGTCAAGTTCCTTGCACGTATTCTTCCGGAGACGGTCGAATGGTTTTCGGCTTCCAGTTTAGGCGTCCAGGAGGCAGGCTGTCATTCGACACCAAGTACATACACATTTTTTCGGTTCGAAGGCTGAGCAGCAGTATGTCACAGCACTTCGCGGGCGTTGGAGGCTAAACTATTTAATGTTGAACATGTCTCTGGCGGTGAAGGCTGCTTTGCCATAAGGCTGGCCCTGAAGTTGGATATGGTTGATTTTACAGAGCCGGAGCTAGAAAGAAACAAGTGTAGATGTTGAATATGTGGCAAAGTTCATACCGGGCCTTTTACCAGCGCAGAGATTTTCCAGGGTACTTGGCCGGGGCCGCGGACAAACCAACGGAAAGCTGTATAAGTTAATGGCCACGGGGCAACAATACTCCAAGTTCTAGCGCTTATTCTATCGCAGATACATAGAATCCTCGCTCACGAGAAGATCAACTAAATGTTGGTGTACGACAATGCAGTGGATTCCAGCCAGTCAATCGACAGCAGAGGATCACAAATGTGAGGAAAAGAATACGGACGGTGGATTGGAGAATGGAAGATGGAAGGATGTGATCGGGGTGGTGGAGTCGATGACTTCAGCATTGAGTTTGAGACAAAAGAATGCCAAGTTGGTGAGCTTGTGATGAGGGTAATGCACGACAAACGCTCGGGCATTCGAAGCACTTATCCCCTTCACGAGACGAGATATTTGAACCTCGTTCACCAACTCTTTTGTCTGTGGCTCCCTCATCCCTCTAGCATCCCTCTAGCTTAACACAATCCCCTCACTTCTGAGGGCTGGGGGGACCCCAGCGTACCACGGGCATCTCGCGAAGCGTGCCTCCCAACTCTCTTCTCTGTTGCTCCCACATCCCTCCTCACCATCCCCTGCTGCTCCACTCCTTGCGCGAGCTAGCTAAGGAATTTTCTTATTTCTCCTTGCACCCATCCTTGCACGCATAACGCAGACAAAAAATGAGGGGGATGCCGGTGTGTAAGAAAGATTTTTCGCCTGAAGCCCCTCTAGCCCATCGACACACACATGATTCTCTTTGTTCTAGGTCTTCCGACTGTCGGGAAAAGGGCCTGCCCCCCCCCCCTTTTCCCTCTTCCCCCCATGGGAAGTACGCCAGGACTAGTATCAATGCTCAGCGCAAAGTGGAGAGTGGAGTATACACTTCATAACCTCCAAGGTATAGGAATGCTGCTCATAAACACCTCATAAATGACTATGCATGGCAAGTTTAATCCTCGGCCTCCTCATGCAAAGTGCTCTTTTTGTTATTTGACTGATCTCGCAGGAAACGCTTGGGCTCACGCAGTGGCGTATAATCATGTGAATAGATGAGCAAGGATCATTCCGACAAACAGGATGATTTTGTTTGTGGGACTCAAACACAGTGTTTCTAACGTAGTAATCGTCACTCTACAAGCTTGCTTGAGGACAAATGCGAAAGCCCTTGTATGTTTGGATAGCTCTTCGGGGATAGAACCGGGGGAAAGATGCAAGGAATCGATGGAGTGCGAGACACAATACGTCGGATGTGTTGGATCTTTTTATTAAAGATGTCCGTCCGGTTTGGTACAAGATGCTGGATTGAATTTTGGGCTCTAAAGACCCCCGACAGATATAGAAAGTGCTCAATCAGTAAGAAAATCTTATCAATCTTTCTGCGTGAGACAAAAGAGCAAGGGATATCATCTGGATTCTTAAACATACTTCGGCACTCTCGATACAACAGTGACTGGTATCGCCATCTGGGCAAAAATCTTTCTTGGGGGTGAAGTCTGATCATATTATATCACAATCGGAACATTTTTTTTAAAAAAAGTAAAAGGCAATGATACATAATTGTCAGCTAAAATGCGTTGAAAAGGTCGCTTCAAGGCACCGCCTAAGCTGGCAAAAAAAAAAAAACGGCCAACATAATATGGCTTCCGTGACTTACATCCAGCTACCGAGCTCTGACATACTAAATGAGTTGCGGCTTGCCCATTACTCTTCGCCTTGTTACAAGTTTCTGCCACCTTCACGTCGTCGGCCATGATGGTACTAAGTAGTGAAAAGGTGACCATAAAGACTCCAATGAAGCGAAGAGAACACATGATGTACTGTTAGACTAATTTAAAACGGTTAATCTCGAGTCTGAAGCAAATCTTGGGATTGCAGGTGAATGGATTTTACGGAGTGCTTTTGAGTGATGGGAGGATGCTCTGACGATGGACAAAGGGACAACCTTCGTGCTTCTTATATTCCAGATGTGCAGTGACTGCTAGCCGAGATTATGTATGTAGTTTGGCGCAACTGATCACCAATTTTCTTTGTGGTCTGCGCCAAAAAGTATGGATACGTAGGTCAGTCACTGTACCGTTATGGAGAGGCTTGGATGGCTTTGCATTGTAGCCCCCAAGGACGCTCGCCTCTCGGTGTACATATTCTTCGAGTTCCGAAGCTGTATGAGCCGGGCGCTGGAGGCTTCTTTGCTTCTTCGTCTTCCGGCGATTGCCTACTATAGCAACGTAGTAGTCTGAAACCGCCGGCGCCTGGCGCCGGAGGCTGCAAAGCGGCGTCAATTCCATGCTTGTAGGATGAATACATCGATACACGGATGATTTGTACGGCCGGTGCTGCGGAGCACCCTTGAAGGAGGATACATAAGCTAGAACATATTTAACTGCCGGCGGTGGAAAGAAACGGAATGGAGGTCTCAAATGTATGTGACTCATCCCATCCTTGGCGTCCTCTGATGAGTAGCAAAAAATGGGCTAAGCATGGTGGAGCGAGTTATGTAGCTGAGGGCAAACACGGGCAAAACAAGCACATTGATGTGGGCTGACCAAAGTGCTTTGGGTATGTACCCCATGAGTCCCTGGATTTTTTCTTTTGATCAGCACAACTTGCAAAAACGACGTGCTTGTTTTTAGGGCTCATGAAAAAAAACCCTTGTGTGGTTTTATAACAAACATCCTCATGTCTTGAACTAAACCAGATCTTATTTTATTTTGTTTCGATTACTTGAGTAAAGCTCAATTATAAGAATAAATAAACAGACAAGAGAGACCAGAAAAAAAAGGGGCAAAACTACGAGTAATAAATATAAGTAAATATGTATATGTACCAAAAAAAAAAAACGTGATATAGATAGAAATATTTGGTCAAAAAGAAAGAACAAGCTACGATGATCGAGAATCATTGCAAGGAGACTCATGACAGATAGTAAGCAGAGTAGATCGTTTTTTTTTTTTGTTTACAAACAAAAAAGCATAATATTAAAATAAATTACAAAAATTTGAGCAACTTTTTATACCAAAAAAAGAAAAGAAAAAAACGAAAAAAGTAAAAATAAAAATAAAAAGACAATAATAACAATCATACTAGTCGTAGTAGAGGGAAAAAAAACCCAATGGCAAGATTTTAATATTCTCCAACCTCAACAAACCCGCCATCAGTTTCCCTCATCCAAAGTTGCTCGCCGGAGGAATCGATTGGTGGTGCGGTTGTTGAAGGAGAGGGAATGAGAGAGGCGCGATTAGAGGAAGATGAGTCTGGAGAAGGACGAGGATGGGCGAGTAGGTGGTGATGATGAGGGGAGAAGAATTTGGGATTGTTAAGCGCTGAGCTGGAGTGGATCCGGTCATGCTGCTGTTGATGTTGTTGACGACAAGCCAGTGAGTCATGATGGCTGACACTTCTTCGAGTATTGTTACTTCTCTTCTGAACTGGTTCTTCGTCTTCTTCTTGATGATCTTGATGGTAATGGAAAGAACTGAGGCTTCCATAACGATTTTTACTACTAGACCGACCATTGATAGCACGCGGGGAATGTGCCTCCTCCTCCTTGTGATCAATCAAGCCGTTCTGACGAAGCCCATTGGGGCTCACTTTTTTTCCTCGTGAAGATCTTAACTGAGTCGCAGTAGGAGTAGTGGGTGAAGCGTTCCTGGGACTATTTGTGTTTTTTACAGTCGCAGTTTTTGGAGATGATGAGCAAGAGTGTTGGAAAGAGGAAGAGTCATTGGAGTTCAAGAACCATGCCGACTCGGTTTTGGGGGAAGAGGAAGAAGAAAATGAAGAGGAGGTCAAGAAACAGCCGACTGGCTCGGAGATGCTTCTACGGATCGGGCCACTCCTCCTGGATGATGAGCGCTCGGATCGGGCGAGGGGTTGCACTTTTTTCCTAACGAGCTGAGGTGGAATGTCGGCTTCATCAGAGGTGGAATTCTGAAACCTTTCATCGTCGATCTCGAGGTGTTCATCGAGACAAGAAGAAAGGTGTGGGGGCTGAGGGAACGATGTAAAGGATGAGGAGACTGTGGGATGATGTCGGTCGATGTCTTCAGAACCCAGTCCATTTAATTGTTCAACCAGCTGGTCTTCCTCATCATCATCATCCTCCTCCTCCTCTTCGGATGATCCAAGATTTGTTAATTTCCTTGAACTCAATTTTACGAAGGGTGTTGGGGAATGTGTACTCGGAGGATGGTGATGATGATCAAGGATTTTGAGTTCATCGCCGTCGGTAGAAACCGAGGAGAGAGAGAGGTTAGGAGAGTCAAAGTTTTCATCTGCGACGATATCGATGCTCGTATGGAGAGGGATCTGCAGCTCTCCATGCGGGGTAGTACTCTCGTCATCATCACTGTGATCTTCATTGATGCTGATCTTCACACCTTCATCCTCACTCAGTCGGCTTTCGTCCACTTGAATCCCTGAGCCCGAGAGATCATCCTCCGAGTCCTCCTCCAAGCAGTCCATCCGAATGCTTCCACAACTATCGTCCACATTCGATTTGCCGCCCCATGAAAGACCAAGGCGAGATACCCTCCTGTCAGTCGAACTGCTTGCCTGAGGATTGGCCATCACGGCCATCTCCGTGTCCTGTAGAGGTTCATCATCCGGATTTCGAACTTTGGCCAGATCTTCTATGAACGAAGAAACTACTGATTCCGGATCCTTAGCCAGTTTCTCGATCATCCGCCTTAGGAGTCTAGGGATTCTCCGACCACTTTCGCAGCCATAATAGTCATTTGAGGTACACAATTCATGAATCAAGCGACTCAAGCCTATCCGAACTCCACCCACTCGATCTTGACTGATTTGCGTCAAACTACTGTCTTCTAAAACAATCGACTCCAGGATATCGATCGGCATCAGTAACTTCACCAAGTTGAAGATTGCTCGTGGGTAAATCATTCGAACTCGGTAGTTTGGATCTTGACTCAAGCTTTTTAATGAGCTCAGTAACCTCAATTGAAACTTCCGGTTGTCAGAATTTCGTCCCGAATTATACAATATCGGAACCTGCGTTTTCCAACAAACTCATTAGTTAGACAGACCAAAAGAAAGGTAGACAGAGACAAAAAGGGGGTGCGTACGAATTGAAGGGCAGCTTCTCTTACAGCTGCGGCAGGGTCATTGAGCCCAGCGAAAAGTAGAGTCTTCATACAGCCATCACTTTCTCTTTCGACAAAGCAATCACTCAGGTGATCAAACAGTTTGGGCAAGAAAAGGATCACGCGTTCTCTTACGGTCCAGCCAACGGTTCTGAGGGAATCGGAATCTGGTGTACCGAAGTACTGAGTTAATTTACAGATTATTGAACTCAACTCTCCTTCGACATCAATGTCACTAAGACTAGTGTCCAAAGTCTCCAAGACAGATTCAGTGTTCCCGAGATCCGGGTCTTCGAATAAGAAGAACTTCAGTACGCGTAGCCAGTCTTCGGTGGCAAGTGAAATCGAGGTCTCGATCGAATCATGGACGATCATTGAGCAGGTCTGCTTCAGAGGTGCCCTTATCAGTTTGATGAGTTCGTGCATCGAGCGAGCTAACGACCGTCGAACCCTGGGCGGATACGAGACGTCCGTCGCCAACTTCAAAAACAAGCTCCTCATATCCTGCCATCTTTCGACGCCCAAGGTTAGCAAGACTGCGGGGAAGTTGTAAGAGCAACACATGGCTCGTTCAGTGTCTTCAAGCGATATCGCAGAGGTTCCAAAGGACGAGCTAGTCTGAGGGAGTTGATCCTGATCGAAAGGACCTAGCATTAATGAGGGTGGATCATCAAAATCCATCGAGCAACCAAATGATCGCATTCGATCTGCCATTCGCTCCCCGAGGGCGTCTGACATCGATTGCTGATGTGGTTCGAACCCGCTGAGAAAGTATTGGACGATTTGATGGGGGACTGTGGACTTCTCGAGGTGGAATACGTAGATCAGTTCGCCTAAGATCTGATATCCAACAATCCTTACTTCCCGGTTGTCATCGCGACTGAAGTGTTGAATCAGGTCGAGGGACAGTTCAGCTCGGGGGCGATGCTGAACCAGTTTTAGGAGAGCAGGTAAGCCTAGACAGATCTGTTTTCGAACTTCGGGGTCCATGTCGGAAGCGAAAGAGCGAAATGCATTAATGAGTAGGTTCTCTGTGTCTTCATCCATCTCAACAAACGAATCCAAGGGGCAGGATGGAGTCGTTGCTGACAACGAGGATGGCAAACTGATCATCAAAGTGGTCAAGGTAGAAGCAGCTTGTTGTCGCAGGGCACGGCAGTCCTCATCGCGAGACATGTCAAGCACTTGTCGCAGCAACTTACGATGCATAAAACTGGCATCGAAGCATCGAGCTTGAGCTATTGACTCAATTAAGGCTAAGCCCCCTTGCTGACGATGGATGCAATCGAGAGAATCATTGGGGTTCAGACTGTCGCTTGAGTATTGCGATGAGACGTGTCGTGAAAAAAAGTTGTCGACTGGAGGTAGATTCAAAGCTGACGTTGAGTTGGAAGGTGAATTAGATCCAAGTGGATTGGAGGAAGGATTGGGTGGATCAATATCGTAGTACCGCTGTCGGCTCAGTTGCTCAGCTTCATCGCCACCCAATGGTACGGTATCCCATTCATCGGATTCACTAGCATCGCTACGGTCACGTCGCAGGACAATCGGATCAGGCTTGGGTGGTTGACAGAGGTCGTGGATCACTAGGCCAACAAGCTCATATGCGATTCGTCTTCGTATCGAATCACTGAACACGTATTCTTCGTAGTGGTCTTCCCGATCTACTCCATGATACTCGATCGGCAGGTACGGTTCGCCAGCGACCAACCTGATGTCTTCTGACCACTCGGGCAACGGACAATCTAAGAGTCGGCAGAGAAAAGCTACCAAGGCGTAGCGTGAGAGCAGTCCAATTGATCGGTTGGTATCAGTGAACAGGGTGATTAATGAGATGGTGAAGGAACCAAGGGATATCTGAGGTCGCTTGCGCCGTTCCTCAGTAGGCCACTCTAGACTAGGATTCGAACCGTCGGCTCTGGAAGAAGGAGTCATGGCTGGGCGCTGTTGGCCGTCATTGACAGGGGGCTCTTCAGTTTCTGATAATGGACATTTACTGAAGTAGTACCACATGATGTTACACAGCGATGGGCCAAGAGCTTCACGAATCCCTTCATCTGCATGTAAGTAGAGCCATGGTAGGAGGAACAATCAACGATCAGCTCAAGAGCTTGTGAAGAGAAGTGGAGAGGATTTACCATCTTGGGCCAATCCACTCAGGAGCGGTAAGACGTATTCAACCGCTTCGGAGATATCCACTTCTTCCAAAAGTTCAGGCAACCGTTGAGAGACAATGACACTGTTGAGGAGATGATAACTTCAATTCCTTGAACTTTGGAAGCTAGCAAGATGTGACTGACCGGTGATAAGCGTTTTCACTATTTGCAAACAAGAAGATCTTCTCCATCGTACTCAATCTATCATCCTCTTCATCTTCCTCCTGATCATTATTGCCCATCAAATGAAGCGGGCTGAAGGACTGATGGGCGGGATCATCCTCACCTCTGTTCTCATCCAGCGCACACGAGTTTGAGCAGGTATCCATCCATTCAGCCGCCTTGCGTTCCTCATCTTCGATCACCAGATCTTCCTCAGGTTTGATGAGCGGACTGCTTGGTTTCTGATCAATCTCAAGGGGTGAAGAGGGAGAGGTGGGTGGAGCGGATGCAGCTAGTTGGATGGTGGGGTCGATGAAGTTAGGTGCGAAGTCAGCAGAGAGAGGTGTCCCGGGACGTGCAGGATCAGCGGGCGTTGTAGTTGTTGAGGCTGTTGATGAGGCAGGTGTTTGAATGGAGCGGGTCAGATCGAGAGGAGGGGGGATGGCTTTCTTGTTGGATAGAAGAGATAGCTTGGGGGATGATAGGGGGTCATCTTGAGGATGTTCAGGATTGATTGTTGTGGAGAGAGGCGAGGATGAGAGATCAATCGGCCAAGGAGGTTGATTTGAGGTGATCGAACGGGAACGCATACGGGTGCGATGGCTGGAGAGTGAGGATGAACCGGGGATGATGAGAGCGGGGATTTGAACTAAGGGTTGCTGGGCGAGCTCGAGTTCTAAACCCGGGTGATCGCCCTGTTGGTTCTGATCATCAGTCACTGTATCGTTCTGGTGCTCTTGATCAGGAGTGATTCTGAGAGGAGAGTGTGAGGGTGAGGATGAGGGTGATGAGGATGATGAGGATGATGAGATGGAGGGTGAGAGTGAGCGTTGACGGGTGAGGTTGAGGAGCTGGAGACGAGACTGAGAGAGCGAGTCGGCACTTGATCGTCTGCTGAGCGTTGGTTGGTCTGCCAGGCTGAGATGTGGGTCTTGAGCAGGATGGTGATGGCTAGAGAGGAAGGATTGGAGATGGAAGCTTCTGTTGGGATGGTTGAGGTTGGCTGAGTTTGATGAGGCAGAGGAGGTTGAGGAGGAGGAGGAGGAGAGTGATGAGGATGGTGATGAGTTTGAGGAGGTTGATGAGGGTGGTGGCAGGCTGTTGCTAGTAGGATGTTCTAGCTTGAAGTTGTTGGAGTAGAGTGATGAGGATGGGATCGAGCGAGGCCTGGAGAGGATATCCTGTTCGATCTGGGTGGTCTGTACCAGTCCGGGTAGTCCGGGCAGGCTGAGCTGTTTCGAGTTGGCTTCGGTTCGGTTATTGATCAGCAGTAGGTTAGGGTCGATGGGGGATGGGCTACGAGAGAAGGGCGGGCTGATTGAGACGCTGCTCTTACGCCGGTGCCGTCCGGTGTGAGTAGATGTGCCGGTCCGATTGAGCAGCTGGAGCAGTGGTTGTGGTTCGGCTGGGCCTGGTTCAGGGTTGGCTGAGCTTGCACTTGAGCTTGAGCTTGAGAATGAGAATGAGTTGGGGTTGGGGTTGGGGTTGGGGTTGGGAGTGGTGTTGGTGTTGGTGTTAGTGTTGCTGGTGGGAGTGGGGTTGATGGTTGTGCAGCTGGAGCCAAAGATGAATGGCTTGTTGTGATTGGTCAGGGTTGCTGTGTTTGTGCTGGGTGGTGGTGGTGGTGGTGGTGATGGTGTTTGCTGTGATAGCTGGTTGGGTGGCTGTGGTGGTTGTTTGAGTAGAAGGATGGGTGGGTGGGTAGGGTTGTTTGGGGCGGCTGGGTTTTTGGTGGCAGTCGAGTTGGAGGCTTGGAGGAGGATGACCATCTCGGTTGGCGAGTGAGGACTGGCTGAGTAAGGAGAAGGCGCAGGGGAGTCAGACTGGCTGAGTCAGTGGGTGGTACGGAGGAACAAGAATATGTATGTATGGGGTTTTTTAGTTATTAATTAAGGTTAGCGTGAGTGGGTGGTGTGGAGAAGAGAAAAGGGATAAAATGGAATTCGAACCTCAAATTAATCAATTTATCCGCCGATTTAATCTATCGAGCTCGAGTCTGTGTTAAGCCAGCACACACACACACACCTCGAGAGTAGTTTTCAACTGCCAAAACATATTCCTTAGTAAGCCAAACGCTGACAAAAAAAGGCAATGTTTCGTATTCTTTTTTTTTTCGCTAAGGATTTATGACGCACACAGTCTCCAATCAAGCTTGGTCGAGAGGGATAGGGTCGAGGCCGAAGAGCTGAACTGAACGAGTTGGAATCGATGGGTTGATAATCGGCCTGCTTGGATGATCTCAACTCGTTTTCCCAAACTGGTGAAGATGGAGATAACGACCAGAGAGCCTCTGTAGGCGATCGAACTAGGGCGTAAATTAGCTGTTTGGACTGTCTCGGTCGTGTCCTATCTTCCTTTGATCCAGCGTCTTCGAAAAGTTTGGTTATTTTTTTTATTGTGCCTCTCAAAGAATGGGGATGGTGCTTGTTTCTTATCCTGGCTAATCTGTGTGTATGGATTTGTGCGAACGTCGATAGTGATGATGGAGCTTGTAGCAGTCGTAAATGACCGATGTGACGAAGAGTATAGAGACGAGGATAGCGCGCAGAAAGGGGAGGAAGCTGATGAATGGTTCCGATTGTAGTGTTGTAGAGCCAGGCGAAATTCGAACGGGTGGGGGAAAGGGAAGTATTTATGTAGATGAGTAATCGGGACGTTGCCGGTGGGGTCAACTACATACATAAATATATGCATTTGGTCTCTTATAATCATCGGGGCCAGGGCTAGAAAGAGGGTCACAAACCTGTCACTGTCAAATTGGCCCACTTGGTCAAACATCATGAGTCCATCACCTCTTTTACACCTTTTTTGCACACGATTTCAGCTGATAGTTGCAACAGCGCCACTCCGGAAGGGATTGATTGTGTCTATCTTGCTCAACAAACAGAGAAAGACAAAGAAAGACCTGAGCGATTGGGGTGTTTGAACTCCTCGCGTGACCACTCCAATCCATCAATCGTACATACACAACCTGCCATGTGACACACGTGGGATGTTTCCTCTTACAGCACGAGTTCGGTTGGTGCCTGTTGGTGCTGTACTACATATTTATGTAGAAGATACCAGCAGATTCTTCAATCATCATAATTAGTAACCTCAGGCACATTAAGAAACTTGAACATCTCTCATACATAACATTATTCTTTATATGATCACAAAGCTTTTCTTCCATGGTTGCTGCAACTTGTTTTGAAGTCCAGGTGTACATGCAAGCGTATAATGACACTTTGGATATGTAGGAGGACTCCTAGAGCTCACAACATGACTGAAATTATGAGTGCCAATGTTGTATCAAGGTGTCAAATTTGACATGTGGCTGATTAAATGTTGAAAAACGTTAAACCTCTAGTATTTTTTGAAAAGTAAAAGCTCATGTGTGGGGCTAGTGAATCCATATATATAGATAGTTGCAAAATCATAGAATAGGAATGGGAAAATTTCAAAACAGACCAAACAGAGCAGATAAATATGCAAATCCACATCTTGGACTTACAAGATTCAGTCTCCTTTTTTCTAGAACAGAACAAATTTAAATATAAAGAAAGAATTTGGAGTACATCAATTGGGATCTTTTTTGAATCTCCCAAAAAGCTTCTTGAAGAAAACACTGGATCTGGCCAGAAGATTGTCCCACCAAACTTGAACTCGGATCCAGAGTGAGCTTTTCTTCCATTCTTCATACAACTCTTCAGCTTTCCTGCCCTCCCATATATCTCCAGGGGACAGTTTTCCTTGGGTTTTCAGTCTCTGCATTGCAAATTCTTGGAAAGGCTTTCTTTGCTTTTGTGGAATCTTTATAAGAAACTTATCCAAGTATCTGGGTTATTAAAATTATCAGTTTATCATTCAACTTTCTTCTTCTTCTTTTTGACACGAGTATCCAACAGAAATCATATAACATACACTTGGTTGAAATGTGGCACTAATTGCTGTATGAGGCGCTCTCTAGAACCATCCAATGGCAACAACTCAGGGAGTCCACTTGATTAAAATCATTATCGCAACCAGAGCAAAAAATGAGTTTTTTGGAATTCATCATTTCAAATTCTAGAGGGAAACAACCTACCCTTTTGTAGTATGAAGCCAATCATGGAGACTTTGAAGTAGTTCTGAGAGTTTCATGGTTTCTCCTGATCTCATTTTCAATTCACTGATCAAATTTTGAATTTAAATCAGTGCCTATCATTTTTTGTGGTGCATGGAATGAGAAATCAGTGATTAAAAAAATCAATTGACCTCAAAAAGTGTTCAAAATCAGATTGTTTAGATCCAAAGAATTCAGACCCAATTCTCTGAAGATCATCCAAGGATCTATAATTAAACCATTTCCCAAATCAGTACAACCACTCCAAGAATTTTCCTTCAATGCACCATTAAAAAAACTTACATCATTTTATCCTCTTCTCCCAAAATTAAGGGTCCGTACCATAGCGGCTGAGAAATTGATTCTTGCGCGACTTTTGATTTTTTTTCTTGAGAATCGATTTCCGGCCAATTTTGTGTACCATAGCCCCTGATTTCTTGTCAAAAACAAGAATCGATTCTACATCAAAAGTGATCGTTTCCTGGAACAGGGGTACCCCCGTTTCTCTGAGCTTTGCAAATCGATTCTTGCCCTCCTGCCTTGTATCCCAACACTTGTCTTCATGGATGCACTCCTCGATCCAGCCATCTTCACTAGTGATTTCTCTGAAGCATCTTTGACTAACACACCCACCCCCAAGAATCCAGCAACTACCAACAAACCCATTCCCAAAGCAAGAATGCCAGCAGCAAAAGCACCTAAGAAGAACAAGAAGGAGAAGGAGGACAAGACCCCACCTCACTCATGGACGCACGACCAGAAAGCTCAACTTTTGGAAGGAATCGCCGATTGCATCGGCAAAGGTCTGGCGACTGATAACGGCAATCTAAACAAAATCGGCTGGACTACCCTTATGGACCGGATCAACACCCGTTTTGAGATTGATCTCAACCGCGATCAAATCAAAAATGCGAAAAACAAGCTTCGGGAGACGTACGTTGACTACAAGTTCTTGCGCGACCAAAGCGGCTTTGGTTGGGACCCTGAGAAGCAAACTCCAACGGCTGATAAGGCAACCTGGGACGAGCTCATCCAGTCTCATCCACGCCGGGGATTCGGAAAGCTCAAAGATAAACCATTTCCTTTCTATGATCTAGCCCACCAAGTCTTCAGTGGGACCTTTGCCACCGGAGACATGGCTGACGAAGAAGACATGCCTGACCTCAACAACACTCCGATTGCCGAGATTACCCCGGTTAACCGTGCCAAGCCAGCTCAGACTCAACCTTCTAAGACCCCCAAACGACCGGCCATGATCATTGATCCAGACGATAGCGACAACGAGGTGGATCCAGAAAGCTCGGCCCCTCCGGTCAAGCGTACCCGAGAAGGGAAAAACGAGGCAATCAAGTCCAGTCTTGGAGGAATCTCGAGTGCGATCGACCGACTTACCGACCTGAAGGAGAAGGAATCAGCTGCAGCCACCTCTCAGTCTTGTTCCGAGACGTACTCTGAGAAAGCACTCAGCAAATGTGCACTCATGTTCTCAGAGAAGGTATCGGATGAAACCTACATTGGCTTCATCGAAGTACTTGAAAACGAAAACAAAGCGCGAACTTTCTTGACTTTGGCTCGCACCCGACCCGAGAATATTTGTGAGATGTGGCTTCAGAAGGAGGTTTCCAAGTTTGTAAGCATCTCCTTCAAGTCTCAGATGTTTAAATTGATCTAATCGATGTTTGTTATGTTTTATCTGACTACCAGTAGACATGATTCAATGTAGTTCTTGCTGCTAGTTAGGATCAGCTGTTCCTTTTTGTCATTATGTTACAGTTTGATCCCTCAGATTTCAAATCAAACCAATATTGAACAATCACCTGACATCACACAACTATGATTAAAGGATGCAACCCAAATTTTTCACTTTATTTCATCTTCTGATATAAGTAAAGACAAAATGAAAAGCGAGATTAAAAAAAAGAGCGAGACAAAGAAGTGATTTCAAAACATTCATTGAGGGTTCCAAAAAGGGCCGATCTCAATTGGTAGTTCTTTGTTGAGCCTTGTAAGCCTTGAATTGATCCCAGAGCTTATCAGCTAATCGATTGCGTTGAAATTTCATGTAGTTGTCCTCTTGAGCAGTGGTGGGAAGGGGATCGTCGGCCTCAGCTTCTGCTGCTGCTCGATAAGCTGCTGCATCTTGGTCGGAGTACTCTTCAAACATATTCTCAACTGATTCATGCTTTCACATGAAATTCCACAGCATCACCAGCGCGTATATCAATCGGACCTGTTTTCTGAGTTCCACCTCGGGAGCAACTTGAAGAATCGGAAATTTCTTCTTGATGCACCCAAAAATCCGCTCGACGATGTTTCTGAGAGTCGCGTGCCGCAAATTATACAATTCCTTCTTGTTTTCGGGTCGAAGACCTGCAGCTGCCTGTTCCTTGAGATGATATCGAACCGCTCGGTAAGGTGTCATCAATCCCTTTCGGAGTCCATATCCTGCATCGGCTAGAAAGTACTTGTTTCCAGGGATTTTCAAAGCTTTAGAGGTTGCATCGTTAAACACCCGAGTATCGTGAGCACTCCCTTCCCAACCAGCCAGGACATAGACGAATTCGAAATTGAAGTTGACTGCTGCTAGAATGTTCTGTGAGATTATCCCTTTTCGTGACCGGTAGTTGCATTGCATGTCTAGAGGAACTCGGGCTGGAACAAAGACACCATCGAGGGCCCCCAAGCAGTTCTTGAATGCAGCATATTTAGGGTTTCTGGATATTTTATGAGGTTGAGCACATGAATCGAGGTTAAACCAAACGTAGATTGGGTAAAGAGCCACCAGTCCTTCAAGGACCAATCCAAAGTATCTGATAGAACATACCAATCGCATCAGAGACCTCACAGCATAAAGAATCGCTTCAAGTAAAAAACACACCTGGTTACAGTGTACAAGCCACGGCGAAACTTAACGGCCGTTTGTCTCATGGCATTGTTGTGGCAAACAATGTCAAGAAAGATCAGGACTTGTTCCTCCACCGATACAGATCGGCCGTCTTCGAGAAGACCATAGCTGGAGAGCTCCAAGACGAGCTTGTCAAACGTCTCCCGTTCCATTCTTGCTATCTCCTTGAATAAATCGGGCCGAGCGTTAAGAAGTAGCTGGGTATAGAGAGCTTTGCCGCCATCGCCGTAGTAAGCCTCGAACTCGTGTTCATTCCAGTATTGCGAGACGACATAGATTGCTGCTGCTGCTGCCGCAAGACATATGAGAACCTCTTCATCCATCATTTTTTGGTGGTGGGGGTGATCGGGGTGGGGAGTTGAGGAGTGACAACCAGCAATGAGCCGCGGAAATCTGGTGCTATGGTCAGTGGAAAGCTGGCACTATGGTACACAGTTTTGTGGGAATCGATTTCTGGGAAATCAAAAAATTGAAAATGCAAAAAGTGCTTTTTTGACTCGCGCGAGAATCAATTCACAAAAAAGCCGAAACGTATGGTACGGACCCTAAGTCTTGGACCTTGTTTGTATGAGGGAAACTCCCCTCTCCCTCTGATCTGGGTTCTCCAAAATCCTTGGGATGAGGTTGCTTCACTACTTCTTCTTGATTGGTGTGCAAGGTTTTTTGATTCATATCCCCAGTTTCCAAAGCCAAATTCTTCTTCCACTTTTTGTATAAGTCCATAATCTCCTCAGTATTCCATAGATCTCTAGATGAAACATTCTCATGATACCCCACTGTTTTCCAAAAGTGAGCTTCAAAAGGTGCTTTGTTCATTGGGAAATCATGCTCTTCAAAAACAGATGAAACAAAGGCATTCAAGTAGCTTGAAGTTAAATGTTGTATACATTTCAAGTTTTTTGATCAGTTTGGTTTTTTGTTTGTTTGTTTGTGAGAGATTATTACACTTGGCTTTAAAGACCACTCACTAACGGTTGAAAGCTGGTACCAGGTTTTTTATAATGACCGCTCTATCCTTCACCTTGGATGCCAAATCATCAATCGATTTTCTTGAGGATGACATGATAGAAATTAGGCAAAATTGGTCTGAAAAACTCCATTTTGGAAGATCCGCAGACTTACACTTTTTTATGAATAATATCCCAATCCTTCAAAATATGATCAACTAATTCTGAAAACAAGATTCTTTCTTTGGATCCGGTTTTTGTTTTTAATTTTCTGGTTGGATTTATGAATTCAGTCATTTTATCTAATCAACATAATTCTTTTTGAAGAAATAGAGAATGAATTCCCAGGGGAATATGTCAACTCACCCAAAAAATTCATCAAAATCTGGATGCTTGATTGGGAATAAATAAAATTTTGCAACAGTTTCAAAATCCTTCAATGATCTGAAATGATGCAATCAGTATAATCATCTCGCTCCAAGTTCTTGTCTATCAAAATTCAGCTTACACCATTCTATTATCATCTAGTTTGGTTCAACAAGAAGTTGTTCCAATGATTAGATTGAGATTGAATCATAGTCAAAATCACATATTCTTGGCTTGGGTTTGAGATAAAAAAAACCTCTGACACACTTTCTGTCAAAGTATGGCTGGAGATCTTCATCCATTCTGCATATAATTCTTGAATCTTTTCAACCTTCACTAGATCTCCAGATGAATTGATCTCATCAATTCCACCCTTTTCCAACAAGAATCCTTTCAAAGAGTCCTTGTAATGTTTATTTGGGAGCTTGTCTCCAAGCAACTGGATGACTTCATCTACAGAGCTGTCCAAGTAATGATTCATTAAAGGATTCATAAGTGAATCAGTATTTTGCTCATCAGTTTCACATGATTCTTGGATAGATACCCACAAATTGTTGAAATCCTTCAGCATAGAATTGGTGATGCTTTTCATTGTCTCTTTTCCTGATGTAACCCTTTGAGCCAAGGGATGACTTCATCAAAGAAGAGACCAAAAGATTTGAATTCAAAGGCTTTGTATAAAGTCAGAATCAAAAATACTGACTTGCTCTTGTTCTCCACAATCCATTCCAAAGTATCCTGAATCACCCTTCTAATAGGAAGTTCAAAGTCCTTTTCCTTTTGGGGAACTCTAGATTGAAGCAATGAGTTTTGGTGTGACTGTTTTCAGCTTATGGAAAATGATAGTGAACTCTGGAATTTGAAATGTATTGACTCAAAAAGCAACTCACGCAAAATCTTTCATCAACCTCTGCTGAAATTGAGGATCCAATTTGAAAACACGTGGTGCAACGATAGAATATTCTTGTCCGTATCTACAACAATGGAAAACATCAAATGGTTGAATTGAATGCTCCCCTAAAAGATCATCAATTTTTCTTCAATCCCTACCGGAGATTAACTCACATCATTGTGTTTCCTGTTCTCAGCCTTGAATTGGAGTTATTGTACAGATCAGGGATATCAGCTTGTTGAAGTGTCTGGCATCGAGTTAATTGGTGGATTGATTAGAAAAGAAAATCACAAGAAAGAAATCCTTACAAATTCGGTAAACCATTCAGATGCTTTTCCGGATTACTGTGATCATCAGGACACATTTGTGAGAATCGCAAAACTTGAGTCTGGCCACTTGAAACTTAAGTGTACGTACGCGCTGTGTGTCGCCCGCAACGAATCACTAAGTCATATGATGAAGTTCGTTAAAATTAACCATTAGCAATGCGATTTTTGAGGGTCGTAGTAGATACTCACGGGTGGCCAGCTGTCTCTGCTAGAGCGAGCTCGTCAGCTGCTTCAAGTAACCTTGGGGCGGTACATTGAACCGGCGTGTTTGTGAGGAATGCCAATAGTGCACCGAAAATTAGTGCCCTGGAAATTGGATGTAACAACATCCGGATGATTGTTTTGTGCTAGGTTGATAGTCGAACGAGACGACCAGAGATTTTAAGCAGCGGGGCCCTGTGTATTGATGATACTTGGGAATCTAGAACTGTCAACACACGAGTGATAAAGAGATAGACCCTAGATTCAAGGCCGAGAAAATACGGGATTGGGGACGCTTATATCCGCCAGCTATTGATGTCCCGAGGGGAGCAGATTGTCTCAGGGAACTGGAAATTCAGATGCGTGACTTTGCGTTTGAATGAAGACTGGAACAAGAGCCCGAGTGAGAGCGATACCGCTCTTGCAATACCGACAGCAAGACTCGACTCCCGGCTGTTTTTCAACTCCGAGCCTCCCAAACCCGGCATCAATGGTGCTTTTGGCGAGCTGAAAGGTCACAGTATTCTTTGCATGTGTGATGTATGTATTGGAGGCCAAGACGGCCTTGCCGAGACACTCTAATCTGCCCCATCCCTGCTGAACATCAGCTGGGTATGGTTAGCTATATGATTTATACTTCTTGTCAACCTTAGAGACACTCTGGTGTGTCCAAAAGGTCTCAAAACCAGTGTACAAAATGCATTGGAATATTGGGATTGTTAGTTAGAAGGAAATGTGCATGATGAATGATTTGAAATGACACAGTTTTAGCTAGATGATAAATGAGAAACATAATTTGACAGGATTGTTTGAAATACTAACTAAGTGAAGTAAGCAACATGTAACCCAGAATCAATACAAATAGAAACTATGTTCATGTATGATTACAATGCTTGATTATAGAGTTCACATGAAAATGGATGTCCAGCTTGGATATAAAAACTACTTCATGTTGGATTGAATCTTTCTCCCTCGGAAAAAAGAACCAATCAAAATATTATATCTTATTTCTTGAAATACTCATTCAAAACAGTAGTAAGACTTTACTTACTTAGATAAACTCAGCAATGGTATTTATATACCCTTAAGGCTTTTAATTATCTAAGAATTTTATAACATTTGGACTAGTATTCCTAAATTAGATATGGTTGAGATTGAATCTGATAACCTTACCTTCTTACTAAAATACTGAAAGCCCCTAATTGATCAAGTTGATGTGTCAAAGTCTACACTATCATTAGACTCATAGAGAATCAGTAGTATTAAACTGAAATAGAATTTATAACAAATGACAATAAAATGAATTAATATAACTGGGTTTGATGTTAATAACCCAATCGAGTCTCTTGACCAATGAAAAATCATCACAATCACATCTATCTGATTGCATCTTATTCCTACCTTTGGCTTAACCATGTTCTTATAGAACAATAGAATTCAAACCAGCGGTGGGTAGTTGCGCTACTCTACGTTATCTCAAGCCATTTCTGTAGCGTAAAGACCCCGCGTTACCCATTTCCTTTGTAACTGCTATCTGTAACGCTGAATCCTGCCGACCCGTGTACCGTAGCAATTGTCATTTAATTTTTTTATCCAGACATGGTTAGCGCAACGCTTTTTGCCCCTGCGTAACGCAAAAAATCCATATTCAGGGGTGAAACTGCCCTAACCACAGAAAATTTCTGCTTTTTCTTCGGATTCTGTATGAGATGTGTTGCTGCCGGGTCCAGTGGGGATCAGAGAGGAGTTTCCCCCTTCTTAAAATCATTTAGGAGCAATTACAAATATTTTTAAGACCCCCAAACCGCTTCATCTTTTTAAGACCTCAAGGTTACCTCTTTGACAACAACAATCAAATGGCACCAGACCCAGTACTAGTACCCAAAGACCCAATCACCAATGATCCCAACAAAAGTGATGATGATTACCACACCGATCAGTCTCAACTTCCCAACGTACCTCTTCACTTGTGGTGGTGCCCAACATGGTGGCATCATTATCGGACTCCCGCATTAGAATGACCCGCCCAGCCACTAACAAACGCACCACTGACACTTCTTCAGTCTCTTCGGCTTTGGATTCTGCTGCTAGTCAAGCAACACAGAAATCACGGGGAAAAAAGAATCGAAAGAAAGTTTCCACTGCCAAGGCTAAGGTGTCAGTTAAGAAAGCAGCCGGAAGCAAGCCAAAGAAGAAAAAGACAAAAAGCAATGGGTGTGAGGCCAAACAAGCGGAGGTCAGAAAGCTTTATGACTCGTGCTTACCATCTTAATTCAATCAGACTTCTCAATTGATTTTTGTTTGTTTGATAGGGAGAAGAAGGAGGCCACGACTACGATCAGGAGAGTGATGATGACGTGGAGATCCAGCCAAGGGAAGATAAGGCTGCCAAGTATAATCAATTCCATGACATACTTGATTTTTTTGGAACACCATGGCGCAAGCCAGGTGATAAGTCAAAAGATCCAATTAATTTCACCTGTAAGTGGTGTAACATCACCTATCGAGGGCATGGGTCAACCAAAGGGAATTTGTATTCCCATCGTGACGGTTCCACCCAAGCCGATAGGAACCCTAATGGATGTGTGAATCGTAACAAGGCCATACAATCTGGGGCCAAGTTACCTCCCTCAGTTGCTCAGCAGAGAATCTTGGATGCCAAAGCTAGTGGCGACTCTACACAAACGAATATCAAGGAATTCCTTCAAGTGAAGCCGACATTTGTCAACCGTGTCCTCAATCAAATGCTGATGATTTGGCAAGTTCATCAAGCCCTTCCTTGGTCCCGACTAGAAGACCCTTATCTTTGAGCTGCTTTCTTGTACAGCAATCTTAAAGCTGTACTGTATGGTCGTCGATGGTCGGCTGACGAGTCCAAGAGGTTGTATTCCATGCTGAAGAAACATACCTTTGACGAGTTGAATGTGAGCGGGCTGTTCACTGTCTTTCTGATAATTCAATGTGATTTGATCACTGAAACCGGTGTACAACATCACCTAGAATTTGGATACAAAGTTCACCCTCATACACAATGTATGGACGACAAAGGGGAACAGATTTGCTTTCATTGGCACGGCTGTTGCTTTCATCAACTCCAATTGGGAGTATGTTGTTTGTCACCTGACACTCAAGATGATTCCCTGGAAGCACCATGGACACCTTTTAGCACGTCCGATTGCCGAAATTCTGAAGAAAAATAAGCTTTATGAAAAGATCAGTCTTGCGACTTTGACTCTTTGTCTCAAGATTTCTAACCCGTCCCTGTGCTGACATTTTCCATCTATGATCTATACATGTTAGCACAGACCACCGACTCAGGTTCTAATAACAACACAATGGCAAAGAGAATGTGTGACCTTCTTGTTGGTAACAAAGGCTACCAACCGGGCTCGTGGGACCCGACTAGTATGCACATCCGTTGCTTTTGCCACAAGCTGGCCTTAATAGTAAATGTGGGTCTTCAGGCCCTGTCTCTCAAGATCCTTCCTCCCAAGAAAGAAAAAGCATCAGTTCTGGGATTCTTTCCAGTCCTCGGGAGGATGGTTGAAGAAGATGAGCAAGATCTCGGTGTTCAAGATTTACCGGTTGATGTCGAAGGTGCAAAGAAGACAAGCCCTCCCATCAATCTTGCCATAGATTCCAACAGCGACTATGGCAATGCAGACGACAAGACTTCCGACAAAGGTCCTGAAGAGTCTGAAAAAATTGACTCAGATCACGAGACCACGTCAGCTGCACATCTTCGACATGCCAAGACTACCAAGCTCAAGGAGCTTACCGAGGAGCTTGATGTAGTGATCAAACAGATCACTCGCTCAGCAGCCCAGCGTTCTAACTTTGACCTCACGGCTCAGAAGCTGAATGTTAAGGTGGCCCCTTTGATTGCGGGGTACGGCATACGCTGGAATATTCGCTATCAAAGTCACCATAAGGCTATTGAAGCCCGTGAGGTGATTGATCAAATCCTCAAAGACAATCAGCAGCACAACTCGTCAGAAATCTTTTCCAATGCATACTTCTCCCCGCGCGATTGGAAAGAATTGGATAACCTCAATTGTGAGCTTGAGGTATATTCGAAGCTCACTTCCGAGATGGAAGGAAATTCTTTGACTGGTACCCATGTCCTGCCAAAGTACCTCGAACTCAAAGAGAGTCTTACTACCAAGATTGAAGCCTCTGCGGAGACTAGCTCCCTGTATCCTATGTATCAGGCTATGTTAAAACGTGTTGACAAGTATCTTAACAAGGCGATGGAATGCGACACTCTTGTCATTGCCACTATCTTGCATCCCTGTTACCGGATGCATATCTTTGAGCTTGCGTTTGGAACAGAAAGTGACGAGGCTGTTAATTGCCTCAAGCGGCTTCAAAAAGAATATGACCAGACTAAGGAGAACATCGAATCAAACAAGCCACCGGAGAACACCAATGAAATTGTTGAAGTTGAAAAGCCATCGACTTCCCTGCCCGGTTCTCTCATGGCTCGTCTGCCGGTCTGGCCTCAAAAATGGGCAAACGAAAAGAAAATCCTCAGTCGAACGAGATCAAAACATACCTGAAAGCCGAGCTGTTTTTCAAGGATGACGATCTGGATCACAAGACCACACCACTAAAGTGGTGGAAGGTACGTTTTTGGAACTCTTGTCTTGTGTATTTATTCATTAGCTGACCAACCAATTCCTGAATACACAGGCTAATCAGACGACTTACCCAACGCTGGCAATCATTGCCCGAGCGTATCTGGGGTGCATTGGAAGCTCATGTGCAGTAGAAAGATTGCTCTCTGCAGCATCTGATGTATGTAGTAGCAACCGTGGTCGGCTTCTCCCCTCAACTATGGCCCACTCTGTCAGCAGCCTCATGTGGCTGCGAGAGGAAGTACCTCTAACAGGGGACTTTCTTGACGCTGGGAAAGCTTTCAAGGCACTGATTCCCCATAAAAAATAGATTTCAGATGTACTTTTTTGTCTTTTCGACAACTCATCCCATTATGCTCGCTTCTCTACATATCATTACGTTTAATGATTATCGTGTTATCACTTCCTACCCTGTGCCCCTCCAATACCGTAGTCTCTCATAAAAAAATGCCGTTACAAGCAATGGATAGCGTAGCTACAGCGCGTTACCACTAATGCTCGCACTAACGAGCCCAAACCCGTTACGCTGCAGCTACATTGCGCGTTATCTGCAACGTAGCTACCCATCGTTGTTCAAACAAGTTAAATAAAAGAAACATCTTTTTATCCTTCTTTTTATCTTTCCCTTCCTCTTGTATTTAGTTTTTTATCTTTACCATAGCAATACATTTATTACTACCCCCAATCTTGTCCAGCCAGACCTCTACGCGAGATCAACAGCTGACACTTCTGGCCCAAGAACTAAGATTTTTTTTCATTTCTTAGACAAATGGCTTGAAAAGCATCTGGGGAGGCCTTTGTGCACTGCGATGTAGCTAGCATGATTGGCCTTGGACCTGGGCAATCTTTCCTGGGCTAACTGTGTCCCAGTTTATAAAGTGGTCTCTTCACGAACTTGACACAAGTCTCTGGCTGCGGCGGGCGCATCTGGCAGCGTAGCGCTGGCCAGGCGGTTCCCAAAGGGAACTCCCCGCAGGGGAGACTTGGGCCAGAGGTCGATGAACTCAGGTGCTGAGTTTGGATTGTTTTGGTGGGAGCGTCACAAGATTTGAAATCCTGACGCTCCCTCAAAAGTTTCTTGATGTTTGGTCTCAAGTTTCTAAAGACCTGCCTGATCTTATTGATCAGGCCAAATTTCAAAGTTTTAGAATCACAACAGGAATTAATAATGATTTTCTAAAATTAAGGTTTGAACTTTTTTCGAGCTCAAATGCGGGGTTTGCTCAACTTGGGCCCACCAAAAGAAGCCAAGTTGAGGGGAAAATTCAACCTTTTCAAAAACATTCTATAAATAATTAGCCAACATAACAAAAAAACTGAACACAGGAAAATGTGGACAAGAAGCAGGCTTTCCCTGACCTGGAAGGAAATTACATGGATGTGAATGGCGGAGTGCTGAGAGTGGAAAACCCACAAAAAAGTGAGTTTTCAGCCCAATTTTGGAAACTCAGCACGCAGGCCTCGTCACATTTGTCTTAGGCCTCCACTGGTGTGGACAGCTCCGCTGCTTGCTCCCGCTCCCGCCGTGGAGGCCTAGTTAGGCTCGGTCTCTTCACACAACCCAACCCCCCCACAACCAAAGGGCCCAGCTACCCATTAAAGAGACCACTTTTCCTCTCCCCCCCCCCTCTACACAAAACTGGCCATCATCAACAAGACAGTAACAATAGATCAGGACTAGATTTTTTGCAAAAACAGAAGAGAAACCAAACAAAGATAGTGAGGGTGTATCAGCATGTTGATGATTAATAAAAAAAGAAGAAAGATGGGGATGGCGGGTGAGCGATGTATAGGGTTGAGTAGTGCAGAGAGAGAGACAGAGAAAGAAATTGAAATGAGAAATGAGAATATGTGTTATCTTCTTGATCTTCATCATCATCAGAAGAAATCAAATATTTGCTGCTCAAATCAGACCTGTGATGTGACCACCAGATCTGACCTAGACCCCCCCCAAAAAAAGAACCAAAAAAAAAGGAATGATTAAAAAAACCCCGATTGAATGTATATATTTCTAAGCTCAGAAAAAAAAGAGACCTCTACACTGTGATTGAAAGAAAAATGATATTTGAAAAAAGAAGGGAAAATGTGAGCTAAAATATAAAACAGGGGGGGGGGGTTAACAAAAGGGGGATGATGATGATGATGAAGAAGGGGAAAAAAAGAAAGAGGATGGGGATGGGGTTGGACAGCAATAAGAAAACACACACACAGGCTCTTATTGGAGTAAGATGGTTAACAGGGAAAGAAAGAGAAAAATCCAGACTCAAAAAAAAAGAAATTATGTGAAAGTAAAAAAGTAGAAAAGCCTCCCCAAAAAAAAAAAAGAAAAGTTAGTAGTGGTTGCTGTTATTGTTATGTATTTGGAGCGGGAAGAAAGAAGAAACAACATTGAGAAGTCAGAGGAAGGGATGGAAGAACAGCTGTACAGGAGGAAGGAAAGCATAATGAGACATTTGACACAACATGTGAGGAGAATGTGGGGAGAACAAGAGAGAGAGAGGTTCTGAGTGCTGGGACTCAGGGCTACTAAGCGCCGACCATCTTACTGACAACCTGTATAAACATCCAAACAAGACCACACCACCAAAGTCAGAAGGGAGGTTAGAGACCAGAGGAGAGAGGAGGAAGACGACATACGGTGCGCTCGCTCTCGAGCTTTGCCTTGTTCTTGGCAAACGCAGCTTCCCGACAAGAAGACATGTTGAGACTAGATAACAGACAGAGTAAGGTGAATCAGCAATGCGAACCGAGGGAGCTGCGAACAGAGGATAAGGAGACTGACCAAGCATGATCTTCAGGGAGGCGATGACGAGAGCAGAAGGGGAGAGTGCAATGAGGACAGTCGCCGACGAGGCCTATCAAAGACATGAACAAAATAAAAAAGAGCCAAGGTCAGAGCAGCCCGAAATCATAGAGAGCAGAGCATACATAAGACAAGGGAAGGAAGCTTACGCAAGGCCGGTTGAGAGCACTGAGATTCGGTGACCGAGTTCTTGGCATGCTGACACCTCTTCTTGGGGCCTCCGCCTCTGAGTCTCATAGCGACCTCGGCGACGACGAAGGGCTGGTTGCAGAGATCGTCGGGGCGCAGGAGTCCGTCCCAGGGTCTGCCGGCCCTGGCGAGTCTGAGATGGGCGGCGAAGGAGAGCGGGAGTCGGTTGTGGAGACAGACGGACTCGAGGATGCTCGTGCTCGTCGACGAGCTCCTTCTCGTCGTCGTCGTCGTTGTTGCTGGTGATGTTGTTGGGTTGGCCGACGAAGAGGCGGTGGAGAGACTGATGGACGGACTCGGTAGGACCATGGTGGGCGAGCCTGGGAAGGGTAAGCTGAGGAGCAATTGGGGAGCCATCTTCTTGATTGGTTGGTTGGTTGGTTGGGTTGTTGGTTCGGGGGAGAAAAGGATCTCTAAACAAAAGAGAGGATTAAAGTGTGATGGGATGGTTTTCTGTGGATGGGGGGGGATGGAGTGGTTATAAGGAGATTAGAGCGAGCAGATAACTGATAAGGAGGAGAGGGTTGGCATGGACAGCAGGAGTGAAGGACTTACGTCAGTGACGGTGGCTGAGGAAGATGCTGGTATATGTGTAGTACTCGGAAGTTGATTTGGTTGATTTGAGCTCGGTTTATGTAGCAGTAGTAGTCAGGGTGGAGAGGATTATTGTGATGAGTTGAGTTGGGAAGAACAGTTGTTGGTATGATCAGTGTGGGAGGAAGGGGAGGAGGGAGGGAGGGGAAGGAAGCAGACTGGGCTCGATTTATAAGGGAAGGGAAGGGATGATATTATATCTGCTTGGCAGTGCAACAACATAACAACTGAAATAATCCCAAGCTGACGCAATCCCAGCCATACAAACACTCACTCAGACACCTCTCACCCGGCTCAGCCAGAGTCATCCAGACGTCAGATTACGAATACCCCTTCAAAAACCCTGCTTAGCACAAGGATGCTTGCGTCATCATCCCATACAGCGACGTCAGCCCAGTCCTGTAGAGGAAGGCCCCGACCAAAACACGACACCGACTCGACGCAGCATGGACGCATGGCCCAGTGGTAAGGCGCTCGCCTTCGACATAGGTGGAGTTCTCCCTCGTGGGAGCGAGAGATCGTCGGTTCGACCCCGGCTGCGTTCATCTTTTTTTCTGTCTTCTCCCTTTCGCCCTTCTTGTTTTTCCACGAAGAACCTTTCTCAAATTTCCTTTTTTGTCTTCTTCTTGTGTACTTTCATCACTCGAATTCACACTACATTGTACACAGACAAATCCGGCACGGAACAGATAAAGGCATCCATGGTCTGTAATCGGATCCACAAAGAAAAAAAAAATCAAAAACCCTTCTCTTCATTCATAAAGGGCAAACAAAAACCTCCTGATCAACAGATATATAAACATTGATGATCGAGTGTATATCCGACTGGATCAGGAGGCCCAAGAGCATGAAGAATCCATCGATCAAGGTCAACTAAAACTTCAACCCGATCGATCCACAGCTCCACCAACGAAACCCGCATATGTAGTATACATATTTATGTAAACGGGCCCCGGCATGTAATGACTAGGGTACTATCGTAGACGCGCCAAGACAATATGTCTTTGAAGGAATGTCAAACAGACTAGCTAAGGACAACTAACAGGCAGCGGTCTTGTCAAACGGACGATGTGATGACTTTAAAAGTGATGATAATAGTTTCGCGGAATGCAATGATAAATGAAGAAAACAAAAATATCGCGATGAGGAAAGGAAGAAAGAGGAAAACAACTGATAAACAAGACTCCTTAAATATTACATGACTTCGCTTTCCATAGGGAGCTCCTTCGACTTTTGGTCTGACCTATCGGTTTATCTGCCTATGTCAAACAACTTCTTCTTTTGGAATGAACGTGCGTTAATATTTATCTCCGAGTATCTTACTGTTTCAGGAATT